GCTTTAAGCAGAGATCTATGTTTCGCTAAATATAAACCAACTTTAATCTTGCCATCTAAGCTGGATGGAATGAGTTGTAAGTACTGGAAGAAGAAAAAAAGCAGAAATTGGTCAAGATCATCCATAACAAAAAGCAAACACAGCTTAAAGATTCATAGGCCCCCAGGATTAATCAGAAAGAAATTCTTCAAGACATTTTGTCCAACTTCTTGGCAGAACTCTGTAGAATCATTCCAATTATATAACAATTATTCCAACTGTATAAGAACCATTTCAAAGAGATGAGTATCTCTGGCAGAGAATATGCTACAAACCCATCCAATTATGTCTTAGTACTTCATAACCTCTTGCCAGGTGTAGGATTGTGGGCAAATTACTTAACCTCTCTAAACCTATTTCCTCATTTATAAAATCCTGCCGAGTGCCTGGCGCAAAACAGATTCTCAATAAATGTTTATTAAATGAATTTTAAAAGACATCTTTCTTTGACTCACATTTCTTTCCTTCTTTCTATATTCTCCTCCTTTCTTCCCTCCCTTTCATCTTTCCCCTTCCCTCCTATCCTTACTTTGTCCAGCAGCCAGTAAGTTTAAGTCTTGTCCAGTTTTCTTAATTAAAATGAATAGTAAATCTTTCAGAGTAACAATATAAAGATCAGAACTGCAGAGTTAAAACTCAGGAGTTTCTGCCTGTGGAAAACAGAAGGCATTACACTATATAATCATTCAGAAGGTCACACAACATTGGGCTACAATTACACTGCGCCAAGCCAAACGCGTCTGGTTTCAATGCTGTTGCAATGGGCCACTGATTACTCTGCGGTCCCTCCTGTATTGCTGCTGTTCTGCACAAACCTGTTTGTATGATCCTTCATGGTGACTGAAACCAAAAACCAAACCCACTGCCGTCAAGTGGATCCCAACTCATAGCAACCCCGTAGGAGAGAGTAGAACTGCTGTCCCATAGGGTTTCCAAGGCTGTAAATCTTTATGGAAGCAGACTGCTGTCACATCTTCCTCCCACAGAGCAGCTGGTGGGTTCAAACTGCTGACCTTTCAGTTAGCAGCCGAGCACTTTAACCACTGCACCACCAGGACTCCTTAAATAGAGGAGGATATAAAGTACCGACAGGCTATTGCTGTTGTGTGTCCTTGTCAATTCCAGCTCATGGTGACCCTGTAGGACACAGCAGAACTACTCCATAGGGTTTCCTAGGCTGTAATCTTTATGGGAGAAGATTGCCAGGTCTTTTCTCTCATGGAGCCACTGGTTGGTTCAAACTGCAGACCTTTTGGTTAGCAGCCAAGTGCTTAACCATTGTGCTACCAGGGCTCCTTACTGACAGGCTAGTGATGGTAAAAATCATGATCAAGACATACACTAACAAGTGGATTGAAGTGTCATTCCATTTCCTCATCTTCCTAGTGGGTAACAAAGAGCCAATCTAGAAGCAGTGGGGTACAGGCCTAGGGGCTTAAGTTGTATGGATTCCTTTTAAGATTTTCACTAAGATGTGCC